TAAATGACAAAATTTAACTTAAAAATTTAATATTCATTTTCCAGATTTTGTAATGGACATTATTGTTTTATTTGTTAAATCAACAGGTATTTATCACCTTCCTTCAAGGCCAAGTACTATTCCATGTGCTGAATACAGAGTGAACATGTTAGGCAAATAAGCATATAGCATACTATCAGGAAGTAAGAGCTATCAGGAAAGACAAAACAAGATGGAGGAGACAGAGAAACTATTTCTAATAGAGTCACCTCAGCAGAATCCTTTGAGGAGGTAACGTGCAACAGAGACTTGAATGGATTAAGGAATTGATCTGTAAGAATGTCTGGGAAAAGTGTATTCCTGAGAGAGGGATGGGTAACTGCGAGTGTCTAGGAGATGGGAATATACTTGCCAAATGCGAGAAAGAGAAAGAGGGTCAATGTGACAGAACGGAGTGAGAGCAGAAAAGCGAATGGAGGCCGGCACTGGGGTGGGTCGAAGCGAGACTGAAGAGGGACTTGTAGACCATTGTAATAACTTTAAACTTTGTTATAAAATGGGAACCCAGTTTGAATAAGGGTGTGCCATAAAACTAAGTGATATATTTTATTCCAATAGCAGGCAGGAGGATTAATTTTATATGTCAACTTGACTGGGCTAAGGGATGCCCACATAGGGGATAAAACATACTTTTGGGTGTGTCTGTGAGAGATTGGCATTTGAATAGATATGCTGAGTAAAGATCAGCCTCACCAATGTGGCAGGGCATTGTCTAATTAATTGAAGGACCGAATAGAGCAAAGAGGTAAAGGAGGGGTGAATTTGCTTTCTGTTTAAGCTACATCCACTGGTTCTCAGGCCTTGAAACTCAAACTGGGTCTTACACCATTGGCTTCTCTGGTTCTCATCCCTTGAGTTTGAACTGGAACTACACCATCTTTCCTGGGCCTCCAGCTGGTAGATGGCAGATACTGGGACTTCTCAGCCTCCATAACTGTGTGAGTGAAACCCTCATAATAAATCTCTTTCCATATACATACACACACACACACATACACACACACACACACACACATATATACACATATATATACACACACATATATGTATACACATATATATACACACATATATATACACACATATATGTATACACACACATATACACATATGTGTGTGTGTGCGTGTGTGTATATGTGTGTGTGTGTGTGTGTATATATATATATATATATCTCCTATTGGTTCTGAAGAACCGTAATATATCTAACCCCAGATTTTGCAAGTGAGAATAATGTATAAGAAATGATTCCATTAGTAGACCAGAAATGAAGAATTCCTAAAGGCAGAGAACAAGTGGCAGTTGACTGATAATGAAACCTGAAAAACTAAAGCAGGTAAGATCTTTTGTTCAAAGAAATTAGAAAAGAAAAAAAAATCAAAACAGTTGAAACATTTGGAGGAAGCGCAAATAGTCACATGGGAGCCCTGAAGAAGTGCCCATCTAAGGATCAACAAATGCAAAAAGAATTAGACCATGGAAATTAATTTAACTGCTTGCAGATCACCTAAGGGAAATGTGTCCCTTACCTTCTTCAACTGCCTGTGCATTCACCATAGCTGCTACTAATTGGTTTTAAATTAGGCTAAAATTTCAAGAACTTCTCTCTAGATAAAATGATATTACAAATCCTAGATTTGGGATCTGAGAAAAATGCAAAGAAATAGCTAATGCATGTGGGGCTTAATGCGTAAGAGATGGGTTAATTGGTACAGCAAACCACCATGGCAAACATCTACCTATGTAACAAACCTGCACATCTTACACATGTATCCTGTAATTTTCCTGGTTTTTCTATGTCAGCTTTTACTTTTACTGACATAGAAAAGCCAGGAGATCAAATTATATTTTTTTTAAAAAGAAATTAAAGCAAAATTCCTCAGGGTTTGCCTCAAGAGATACAAAAGAAGGAGGGCAGGAAAATAAAGAACCTAGTGATAAAATAAAAACTTGGGGAACTGGTAAGATGGCCAGGAATAGGAACAGCTCTGGTCAGCAGCTCCCAGTGAGACTAATGCAGAAGGCGGGTGATTTCTGCATTACCAACCCAGGTACCCAGTTCATCTCACTGGGACTGGTTAGACAGTGCGTGCAGCCGACGGAGGGTAAGCAGAAGCAGACTGAGGCAGAACCTCACCTGGGAAGCACAAGGGGTCGGGGAACTCCTTCCCCTAGCCAAGTGAAGCCATAAGGGGTTGTGCTATGAGGAATGGTACATTCTGGCCCAGATATTACATTTGCCTCATGGTCTTCACAACCCGCAGACCAGGAGATTTCCCCCAGTGCCTATACCACCAGGGCTCTCGGTTTCAAGCACAAAATTGGGCAGCTGTTTGGGCAGACATCAAGCTAGCTGTAGGAGTTTATTTGTACTCCAGTGGTACCTGGAATGCCAGCAAAACACAACTGTTCACTTCCCTGGAAAGAGGGCTGAAGCCAGGGAGCTGAGTGGTCTTGCTCAGTGGATACCACCCCATGGAGCCCAACAGGTTAAGGGCCACTGGGTTGAAATTCTTGCTGCCAGCACAGCAGTCTGAAGTCAACCTGGGATGCTCAAGCTTGCTTGGGGGAGAAGCATCCACCATCCACCATTACTGTACTTGAGCAGGTGGTCTTCTCCTCACGCTATAAACAAAGTCCCCTGGGAAGTTCAAACTGGATGCAAAATTCATTACAGCATAGCAAAGCCGCTGCTGCCTGACTGTCTCTGTGGATTCCTCCTCTCTGGGCAGGGCATCTCTGAAAGAAAGGCACCAGCCCTAGTCAGGGGCTTATAATAAAACTCCCATCTCCCTGGGACAGAGCACCTGGGGAAACGGGCGGCTGTGGGCACAACATCAGCAGACTTAAACATTCCTGCCTGCTGGCTATGAAGAGACCAGTAGATCTCCCAGCATTGCGCTTGAGCTCTGCTAAGGGACAGATTGCCTCCTCAAGTGGGTCCCGGACCCCCATGCCTCCTGACTGGGAGACACCTCCCAGCATAAGTCAACAGACATCTCACAGAGGAGAGCTCTGGCTGGCCTCTGGCAGGTGCCCCTCTGGGATAAAGTTTCCAGAGGAAGGAACAGCAGCAGTCTTTGCTGTTCTGCAGCCTCTGCTGGTGATACCCAGAAAAACATGGTCTGGAGTGGACCTCCGGAAAACTCCAGCAGACCTGCAGAAGAGGAGCCTGTTAGGAGGAAACTAACAAACAGAAAGGAATAGCATCAACATCAACAAAAAGGACAACCATGCAAAAACCCCATCTGAAGGTCACCAACATCAAAGAGTAAAGGTAGATAAATCCATGAAGATGAGGAGAAACCAGTGCAAAATGGCTGAAAATTCCAAAAACCAGAATGCTGCTTCTTCTCCAAAGGATCACAACTCCTTATCAACAAAGGAAAAAAACTGGATGAAAAACAATTTTCATGAATTGACAGAAGTAGGCTTCAAAAGGTGAGTAATAACAAACTCCTCTGAGCTAAAGGAGTATGTTCTAATCCAATGCAAGGAAGCTAAGAACCTTGATAAAAGGGTACAGGAACTGCTAACTAAAATTACCAGTTTAGAGAAGAACATAAATGACCTGATTGAACTGAAAAACCCCGTACAAGAACATCATGAAGCATACACAAGTATCAATAGCTGAATTGACCAAGTGGAAAAAAGGATATCAGAGATTGAAGACCGATTTAATGAAATAAGTTGTGAAGACAAGATTAGAGGGAAAAAACGAAAAGGAATGAACAAAGCCTCCAAGAAATATGGGAATATGTGAAAAGAGGAAACCTATGTTTGATTGCTGTACCTGAAAGCAATGAGGAGAATGGAACCAAGCTGGGAAACACCGCTTTAGGATATTATCGAGGAGAGCTTCTCCAACCTAGCAGGACAGGCCAACATTCAAATTCAAGAAATACAGACAATACCAAAAAGACACTCCTCAAGAAGAGCAACCCCAAGACACATAATCGTCAGATTCACCAAAGCTGAAAAGACGGAAAAAATGTTAAGGGAAGCCAGAGAGACAGGTTGGGATATCCACAAAGGGAAGCCCATCAGACGAACAGTGGATCTCTCTGCAGGAACCCTACAAGCCAGAAGAAAGTGGGGGCCAATATTCAACATTCTTAAAGAATTTTCAACCCAGAATTTCATATCCAGCCAAACTAAGCTTTGTAAGTGAAGGAGAAACATCCTTCACAGGCAACCAAATGCTGAGAGATTTTGTCACCACCAGACCTGCCTTACAGGAGCTCCTGAAGGAAGCACTAAATATAGAAAAGAAAAACTAGTACCAACCCCTGCAAAAACATACCAAAATGTAAAGATCATCGACACTATCAAGAAACTGCATTGCTGGCATCATAATGACAGAATCAAATTCACACATAGCAATATTAACCTTAAATGCAAATGGGATAAATGCCTAATTAAAAGACATGGACTGGTAAATTGGATAAAGAGTCAAGACCCATTGGTAAGCTGTATTCAAGAGACCCATCTCACTTGCAAAAACACACATAGTCTCAAAGGAATGGAGGAAGATTTACCAAGTAAATGAAAGCAAAAGCAAGCAGCAGTTGCAACGTAGTCTCCGATGAAACAGACTTTAAACCAACAAAGCTCAAAAGAGACAAAAAAGGGCATTACATAATGGTAAAGGGATCAATGCAACAAGAAGAGCTAACTATTCTAATTATACATGCAATCAATACAGGAGTACCCAAATTCATAAAGGAAGTTCTTAGAGACTTACAAACAGACTTAGGTTCCCACACAATAATAGGGGGAGACTTTAAAACACCCCACTGTCAATATTAGACAGATCAACAAGACTGAAAATTAACAAGGATATTCAGGACTTGAACTCAGTGGATGAAGCGGACCTAAGACGGGTACAGAACTCTCCCCCCAAATCAACAGAATATGCATTCTTCTCAGTACCACATCGGACTTATTCTAAAATTGACCACATGATTGGAAGTAAAACATACCTCAGCAAATGCAAAATAACAGAAATCATAACAAACAGTCTCTCAGATCACAATGCAATTAAACTAGAACTCAAGATTAAGAAACTCACTCAAAGCCACACAACTACGTGGAAACTGAACCACCTGCTCCCGAATGACTACCGAGTAAATAACGAAATTAAGGCAAAAATAAATAAGTTCTTTGAAACAAATGAGAACAAAGGTGTAACATACCAGAATCTCTGGGACACAGCTAAAGCAGTGTTTAGAGGGAAATATATAGCACTAAATGCCCACAGGAGAAAGCAGGAAAGATCTAAAATCGACACCCTAACATTACCATTAAAAGAACTAGACAAATAAGAGCAAACCAATTCAAAAGCTAGCAGAAGACAAGAAATAACTAAGATCAGAGCAGAACTGAAGGAGATAGAGACACAAAAAACTCTCCAAAAAAAATCAGTGATTGCAGGAGCTGGTTGTTTGAAAAGATTAACAAAATAGATAGATCACTAGCCAGACTAATAAAGAAGAAAAGAGAGAAGAATCAAATAGACACAATAAGAAAATGATAAAGAAGATATCACCACTGATCCCACAGAAATACAAACTACCATCAGAGAATAGTATAAATATCTCTATGCAAATAAACCACTATCAAGTTGGCTTCATTGCTAGGATGCAAGGTTGGTTCAACATACTCAAACCAATAAAGATAATACATCACATAAACAGAACCAATGATGAAAACCACATGATTATCTCAATAGATGCAGAAAAGGCCTTCTATAAAATTCAACACCATTTCATGCTAAAAATACTCAATAAACTTGGTATTAATTGAACATATCTCAAAGTAATAAGAGCTATTTATGACAAACCCACAGCTAGTATTATACCGAATAGGCAAAAACTGGAAGTATTCCCTTTGAAAACCAGCACAAGACAAGGATGCCCTCTCTCACTACTCCTATTCAATGTAGTATTGAAAGTTCTGGCTAAGGCAATCAGGCAAGAGAAAGAAATAAAGTGTATTCAAATAGGAAGAGAGGAAGTCAAATTGTCTGTTTGCAGATGACATGATGGTATATTTAGAAAACCCTATCATCTCACCTCAAAATCTCCTTAAGCTGATAAGTAACTTCAGCAAAGTCTCAGGATACAAAATCAATGGCAAAAATCACAAGCATTCCTATATGCCAAAAATAGACAGAAAGCCAAATCATTAGTGAACTCCCATTCACAATTGCTACAAAGAAAATAAAACACCTAGAAAAACAACTTACAAAGATGCAAAGGACCTCCTCAATGAGAACTACAAAACACTGCTCAAGAAAATACGAGAGGACGCAAACAAATGAAAAAACATTCCATGCTCATGGATGGGAAGACCAATATTATGAAAATGGCCATACTGCTCAAAGTAATTTATAGATTCATTGCTATTCCCTTCAAGCTACCATTAACTTTCTTCACAGGATATAAAAAACTACTTTAAATTTGATATGGAACCAAAAAAAAAAAGAGTCCATATAGCTAAGACAATCCTAAGCAAAAAGAACAAAGCTGGAGGCATCACACTACCAGACTTTAAATTATATTACCTGGCTACAGTAACTAAAACAGCATGGTACTAGTACCAAAACAGATTTATAGACCAATAGAACAGAACAGAGGTCTCAAAAATAATGCCACACAACTACAACCATCTGATCTTTGACAAACCTGACAAAAACAAACAATAGGGAAAGGATTCCCTATAGTAAATGGTGTTGGGAAAACTGCCTAGCCATATGCAGAAAACTGAAACTGGACCCCTTCAATACACCTTATACAAAAATTAAATCAAGATGGATTAAAGACTTAAACATAAGACCTAAAACCATAAAAACCCTAGAAGAAAAGTTACCAAGCCCATTCAGGACATAGACACGGGCAAAGAGTTTATTTCTAAAACACCAAAACCAATGGCAACGAAAGCCAAAATTGACAAATGGGATCTAATCAAATTAAAGAGCTTCTGCACAGTGAAAGAAACTATCATCAGAATGAACAAGCAACCTACAGAATGGGAGAAAAATTTTGCAATCTATCCATCTGACAGAGGGCTAATATCCATAGTCTACAAGAAATGTACACAAATTTACAAGAAAAAAACAACATCAAAAAGTGGGAGGAGAATATGAACAGACACTTCTCAAAAGAAGACATTTATGTGGCCAACAAACATATGAAAAGTGGCTCATCATCACTGGTCACTAGAGAAATGCAAATTAAAAGCACGATACCATCTCACACCAGTTAGAATGGTGATTATTAAAAAGTCAGAAAATAACAGATGCTAGAGAGGATGTGGAGAAATAATGCTTTTACACTGTTGGTGGGAACGTAAATTTGTTCAATCATTGTGAAAGACAGTGTGGCGATTCCTCCACACAAGGATCTAGAACCAGAAATACCATTTGACCCAGCAATCCCATGACTGGGTGTATGCCCAAAAGATTGTAAATCATTTTACTATAGAGACACATGCACACAAATATTTATCGCAGCACTATTCACAATAGTAAAGACTTGGAACCAACTCAAATGCCCATCAGTGATAGACTGGATAAAGAAAATATGGCACATACATAGCATGACATACTATGCAGCCATAAAAAAAGAATGAGGTTCATGTCCTTTGCAGGGTCATGAATGAAGCTGGAAACCATCATTCTCAGTAAACTATCACAGGAACAGAAGACTGAACACTGCGTGTTCTCACTCATAAGTGGGAGTTGAACAATGAGAACATATGGGCACAGGGAGGGGAACATTGCACACCTTGGCCTGTCAGGGATTAGAGGGCAAGGGGAGGGAGAGCATTTGGAGAAATATCCGATGTAAATGACAGGTTGATGGGTGCAGCAAACCACCACGGCACATGTAAACCTATGTAACAAACCTGAATGTTCTTCACCTGTATCCCAGAACTTAAAGTATAATAAAAAATAAATAATAAATAAAATGAAAACATACAAAAGTATTAACAAGTTATAAAATACTTTAAGTCTTCCACTCTCAGCATAAAGCCCTCCTTATATAGACCATTGAAAGGGTCATCAGGTAGCCTTCCTGTATATCCTCGAGGGTATCTTAAATTTTTGACATACATCATCCTTTTACACAAAATTCTCAGTCAGTCTCCTGTCCATTACACTGTGAGGATGGGGAAGAGAAAAAATTCTAAAATATTTTAGAGGAAAATACAAAGGGTATTTCTAAGGAATGAGAATTAAAATGGCATCAGAATTCTCTTTAGTAATTCTTTCTAGTAGAAAATAAGTAAATGGGATCTTCAAAACTCACAATAAAATATGACATTTCTGGCATATATCGAAAATTTAGAAAGCTTTACAAAGTGGTCTGTAGGCTTCCCTGGCAACTGATGATTAGAATCCATAGAGCCAAGCCCATTGCTTTGAGACAAATACCTGGAGGGCCAGTTAAAGATGGATTTCTTGGTCTCATCCTCAGAGTATCTGATTCAGTAGATCTGGGATGGAAGTAAAGAATGAACAGCACTTTTTTTTTTTTGCTTATTATTTTTTCTAATATACATTTTATTGCATTTTAGGTTTTGGGTACATATGGAGAACATGCAAGATTGTTGCATAGGTACATACATGGCAATGTGGCTTGTTGCCTTCCTCCCCATCACCTATATCTGGCATTTCTCCCCACGTTATCCCTCCCCAACTCCCCACCCACCACTGTCCCTCCCTTAGTTCCCCCCAACAGACCCCAGTGTGTGGTGCTCCCCTCCCCGTGTCCATGTGTTCTCATTGTTCAACACCCACCTATGAGTGAGAACATGCAGTGTTTGATTTTCTGTTCATATGTCTGTTTGCTGAGAATGATGATTTCCAGGTTTATCCATGTCTCTACAAAAGACACAAACTCATTTTTTATGGCTACATAGTATTCCATGGTGTATATGTGCAACATATTCCCTATCCAGTCTGTCATCCATGGGCATTTGGGTTGGTTCCAAGTCTTTGCTATTGTAAACAGTACTGCAATGAACATTCGTGTGCATGTGTCCTTATAAGAGAATGATTTATAGTCCTTTGGGCATATACCCAGTAGTGGGATTGCTGTATCAAATGGAATTTCTATTTCTAGATCTTGAGGAATTGCCACACTTTCTTTCACAGTGGTTGAACTAATTTACACTCCCACCAACAGTGTAAAAGTGTTCCTATTTCTTCACCTCCTCTCCAGCATCTGCTATTGCCAGATTTTTTAATGATCGCCAAGAATGAACAGTTCTAAGCAGTTCTCAGGTGTTGCTGATGCTGCAGATCTTGGGATCACACTGTAAGAACCATTGCATTAGGCTATGCTCTTCAGTAATCACTATCCTTAACCTTTCTGAATCACTAACTTATGTTATCTAACTGGCTACTATTTAATTTTGTGATTCCTTCTTTAACTCTTACCTGCAATTATTTTGTAATTAATAAGTAGTCATTCTCAGTTTGAAAAGGCCCATCCTTTACAACTAAGAACTACCAAATATTTGTTCATATTTGAGCATATGGCATTAAAGTAGCCTTTGTTATTTTTGAGAAGTATTTTTATTAATAGAAAATTACTAAAAAGAATAAAGAAGCTTTACTGAATTTATTTTATATATCCTGTGCTATGGTTTGAATGTTTGTCCTTTTGCCAAAATTTATATGTTGAAATACTAATGCCCAAAGTGATGGGATTAAGAGGTAAATCTTTGTGAGGTAATTAGATCATAAGGGCAGAGCCCTCATTAATGGGATTAGTACTCTTATAAAAGAAGCCCAAGGGGCCTGTTTTTCCCTCTGCCATGTGAGGACACAGGTAGAAGTCACTATCTATAAGGAATAGGCCCTCATCAGACACCAAATCTGGTGGCACAATGATTTTGGACTTCCCAGCCTCCAGAACTGTGAAAAATAAATGTGTGTTGCTTATAAATCCCCCAGCTTATGGTAATTTTGTTATAGCAGACAGAACAGACTAAGACATTCTGACTAATTTTTATTTATGTAAATGCATATACATTATTCTCTAGTTGCAGTTACACCGGAGTCACGGCCTTGTTTCTCCTTTTATTAGCAACTATGCCTTGGGTGACAAA